TTGCATGTGATCAATTACCCTCAAATCCTTTCAACTAAGCTAATAAATGAGTGACGTCAGAGGTGCTGAAACACACCATCTGTCAGTTTTGCTGTACAATCCTGTTCTCTCCAATCTGTGTCTATTATGGAAGATTTAGCACAATGAACCTTAGCAGAGAGCAGTGAGTTCTGAGCAAGATGCAGAAGGGCAGATGGAACTGAACCTATGATCTCTGTAAGACTTGGATTTTCCTCCTGTGTGGGTCTATATGAAACTTCAGAGTTCTCTACATTGCAAATTAAGAAATACATAAAACCCACTGAAAAACATGAAGCTTTATTTAGAATAATGATTTTTCCACTGTGCTCCAACTTTAGTTGACAATGATGCCAAGAGCAATAGCACATCATGGAATTACATGGGCGAGGGAAGGTTCAACATAGCTCCTGGTGCTAGCTGTGTTACTAGCTAAAGAGTGGGAAAAGCACCAGCTGAATACTACCATTTATACTGCTCCTAAGCCCAAAATATTGTGACTCTTTTCAGAGCCCTACACAATTGGACAAAAAAAATAGCTTTCTGGGAGATGTAAGCATTGTGCCTGAGAGGAACTCCATGTACTCCGGAGTAAACTGGGGAGCACCTCAGCCCATCTCAAACAAAACACTTATGTGATAAGAGAATAAGGTTCAGCTGCAAACTGCAATGAGTGTTTGACACGGCACACTCTTTCAGAATGCCACTAAAACAAAGAGAGATTTAAGAGATTATTTCTAAACCTTCCCTTGAAAACCATCTCCCTCCCCCCATCCCCTTCCTCCAGGTGTAACAGGCAGGGCTCAGCTCAAACTCAGAGACCTGGGCTCAGCCAGCAGCCTACAGGTCACTGTCCACACCTCTCCTGCCCCTCCTGATTTCAGGATGTTCTGATCCAAATGGGCAAGGCTGAGACAGGAAATAAACAGGGATTGAAAGGAAACAGGCTCTAAGTCTCACAGCTAACACAAGCCAGTTTCCAGGGAGCATGGGGAATGTTTGGGAGCAGATGCTGTGAGAGCTGAGGCTGCTGCTCTAACACAAGCAGTGCCAGTGGAAGCATCAGCGCTTCCATAACTTACCGAGGCTGACTCCTCTTGTGCTTAAGCTTGGCCAAAACCAGCTTTTATGCAGGAGGCTGTCAGAAGTGTGGTAAACCACTGAGACTGTGTTAGATCCTCTTCTTCCTGCCTTCTGATCCTAATTTCAGCCCTTCTGACTGCAGGGAATGCGTTTCCTGTGCGACACCATCACGGAGTGCTGGGACCATGACCCTGAGGCTCGGCTCACTGCCCACTGCGTGGCTGAGCGCTTCAACCTGATGGCACAGATGGATTGCGATGACATCCTCAACAACAACATGGACAATGAGGCCAGCAAAACAGCTTCTCCAGGTGGGGAGCACCAGGACAGTGATGGGAGCAGAAACATTCAGTGACGCAGCAGGCAAAAGTCCTCATCATGAGGAACAAGAGGATAAGGGAGAAGCATTTAGCTCATGGAGGAAAAAAACCTCACTGTTTTTCAAAATGGAAGTAAGATCTAGTGCATAAATTATTTATAAGATCTGTTTTCTCCCACAGATACAGTGAACTGTGGAATCAATATTTTGGCTAAAGTGAAACATTATTATATGAACTGACTTTGTACTTTCTTAAAATGTATGATTCAAAGCATTCCTTTTATTATTTTTTAAAATAATAATGTTTAATCTTTTATTAATAAGCACCTGAATTCCATGTCAATCTTTTTTAAGTTCTTCCATATTGTCACCATGAGTTTATTTCTAACTTATTCTGCAGTGATTAAAACAATTTTCCTCTTTTTAATGTCCTACACACACACACAAAATTTGTTGTAGCGGGGAAAAAAGACACCACTAGATGTACCACACCCTTTGTGGAAGAAATGCTGACATCCAAGAAGATCACTCATGCAATATTGTGCAAAGATCAACAAAAATCTGGTTTGTAAAAGCCTGTTGCAATGCAACTCCAACATACCTTTCCTCACTGGGGAATTCCTGGGTTAATTGATAGTTCAGGTGTGTGTATGAAGCTTATCTGAGAGAAAAAAGAAGTCACCAGTGTGGATGTGGCTGCTTCACCCTAAAAACTCTCCATGCAGGATATCTAGACAATCCTTTCCCCAGTCAGACCAGTTTCCAGCCACCTCTAGCCAGATCTGTGCCACAGTAACAGCATTAACAGAAGGTGTTGACCAGTTCTTCCGGAAACTCTCACACCCTCCAGCTCAGTTACCCCACCTGGGGAAACACGATCAGACTGAACTGAAACCTTTATTCCCATGATCAGCAGATCAACCCAGGCTGCCTCTGTTCTGGGAAGCAATTAAGGAAAGGTAAGTCACATCTCACTCTGAACCCTGGTACTCTGCAAATCCCTCCACCCTTAGGAGCAAAAACCTCAGGTGCTCCTAAGCCCTGCAAGCCCATACCTGACACACAGGTGACCTGACCTTCACAGAGGTATTTTTTTGGGATAGCATCTGAGAAGAATACATTTCTTACCACTACACAGCTGCATGGATCAGCCCAGAAAGAGGGGAAGGAAACAAACCATGCAACAGCCACAAGTTTTCTACAGCTGAGGCTCCTCAATGTGGAGCAGGGAAGCAGATTTGCAGGGCTGGTTTGGTTCCTTTAAAGTGCTCAGCTATGACAGCACTAATCCATATAAAAACCTTTTCTTCTCTAGCTCTTGTTTCCATCTCCCTGGACTGTTTTTACAGCTGCTAAATTAAAAGGTTATTGTCTCCAAATGCTTCAAAGAAGGACAGAAGGGGAATGAATTAGGTTGCACCGAATCTAAATAGCAAAAAATTTGCTTAGCTACCACTTATGCCATCTGCAACTGTGACTGCACCTGTCATTCTCACTGATCTTCACCTGGCTGCTATCTCCTCACACCTCACAATTTTTCAAGTTAACCTTTTCTCTTGAAGCACACCCTCCCCAGTTCCCCAAATACACCTTTTCCAACCCACCTGACTTCAGCCTCATTTCTTTAACATATTAACCATTGTTCTTGCACAAGAGAAACAGAGCATGGGGCAGCCTTTCTGTCACGGAGATAAAAAACTATGGGAACACTGGTACCAAACTCCCTTCCAGGCTGTCCAATATTTCCTTAGTAGTTTGTGCAAAATTTTCATACCAAGTTCTGCACCAAGTTGTTTGGACACACTGATGAATACGTTCACTTGTTCTTCCAAGCTCAAAAGTCACTCTGACCTGTTCTTCCCACAGGTGACAGGGACAGAGGGGCACCAGCCTGTGCAAACTAGACATTGAAGGCTGCACCTCTGATTCTGATGGCTGAAATCCAAATTCTCCTGGGGAGACAGACTTCATCCTAGGCTTGACAGTTCATACTATAAATATGCTGAAAAACTTTATCTTTTCCCCTACCCATGCCTAAAATCTTGAACAACCCAATTTGCACAGTGCATCTTTTTCCCCACAAAACACAAATCCATCAGGATTACGCACCTGAATGCCTGTGTTAAACAGCACTGACTTGTCACACTGTTTTCTGTGAGCAGCTGCAGGCTGCACACCACCTCTAAAGACAGCCACTTATTTAAGATCCAAGATCTGTTTATGATTCAGGGAGCCTAAAACCACTGAGATCAATGAAAATTCTGCTCTTAACTTCAGTGAGGCCCAGTCAAGCCAAGAAGACAGACGGTAACATAAGCCAATGTCCTATTTTGCCATGTTCCCTGTTGGAACACACTGTGGCTCTAGCAAGTATCTACACAGGAAGCAGCACTGAGCCCTTCCCTTTGCTCCAGAAGGTACCGGATGGAAACAACACCAGTTACGCAAGAGAATCAAATCTGGTCAGAGTTAAAAATATATCCATTACTCTGCAGGGTGTTTGCCACCCCCTGAAGAATCACAATTACAATTTAAGTTGGATATTTAGTGGCTAGATTTTTTCTTTTGAAATGGTTTTCAACTATGTCCTTTGTTTCTAGAGGCAGAAATTTTCATCATAACTAAATCCATATCAGAAACCATTCCAGTTCTGGTGATCACTTGAGCAAAGGAATGCTTCACACTCTTTTTTTCCTAGAAACATCCCCATGTATTGTATCAAAGTATTTCTTCAGGAATAGGTCTGTTTTTACACAACAATAAATGTTTCATTTAGTAACAGCTTTCTTAGTGTGAAACCACAAGCATACCAGATGAAGGAGGAAGAGAAATAACTTGACTAATAGTATTATATAAAGAACACAAATGGGTTTATGGCCAACATGGAAGCTTGCCAGTCTCATTTACAGCCATCACCTTGACAAATCTCAAACCAAAATTTTAAGCCGAGTTTAGTGACTGAGTTTTAAGTCTGTATTTTAGTTAGCTTAAGCTCGATCCCTGGAGTGTGCTCAGCTGAAAAAGGTTTGGTTTTGCTCTGATCACCGCTGTATTAAAAGCTGGGCCTTGCATCACAGCCCTTGGTGTTCGTTTAAAGCAGATGTGCCATGTGACATGGATAAAACAACTATGAAATGTATACAGTGTTAATCTCCTTCTCTACCAGCCCCATTTTGGTGCAGGTGCTGACGAAACACAGATGAATTTCACACGTTGCCACCACGATTCCTATCCCAAATCCTGGAATTGGCCAAGGAGACACATGTGCCACAGACCCAGAAACAAGGAGGAACTAATCCCACTATTTTAATTTTTATTTTTATTCCTGGTTAAACATGAAAATGCCCAATGGATATCCAAAACTATCACAACAGGATGGTTGTATAGAATAACACAAACAAGACAAGTAGGGCCTAAAACATTCCTCTGCTGGAGAATAGCTACCACTCAAGCACATAGTGCCAAAATATCCCACTTTTGGGACCAAGGAAAGCCCTGACAGATCTCCAGCATGTAAGCAAACAACCACCTACTCTTTCCTGGTCACCTGATCTCTAGGAAAGCAGACAGAACAAATGAATCATTTTGTAGCTTTATTATTCCCCCCCCCACTTCTCATAAACGGACTATGACTTGCATTGAGATCTCAGTGCATTTCACAGCAAAAAAAAAAAATGTACAAGAGGATCAAAACAGTTGTGCATAAACCAAACATTTTTTTTTTTTTTGCATGATTTAAAGTTTGTGTTGAAAGTTAACATGGTTATTTAAACCTTCTGATGCATTCTTACACTTGCATCTTCTCTATGGAAAACATCTTACCAGATCACACACTTGTGAGTTCTCATGATGCTGGATCAGGTGCAGCCATTGCTATGGCTGGGAAGTGGCAGATAATGTTATATACACTGACTGGAAGACTACATCAGAAGAAAAAACAGATTAAGGCACCACTGTTGGAAAAATTAAGGTAGCTTGTAGTTACAACAATAACGAAAGCCATAGTAAGTACTATTCTTAATTGCCAGCAATTCTTAGACTTCAATAAAATAGTTATAAAAAGGAGAAAAAAAAAAAAGGTATGTTTGTACCTGAATACAGTTTCCTGATATCTGATTGTGTTTCAAATCAATACCCAGTCCTCAGCATAATCGATGTTTGTTTGGGTTTCTTTATGGTAAGATGAAAAACCAGGACCTACAGTCCATGTATTCAAGGTCACATTTCACTGCTTTGTTCTGAACAACACCACAGGAGGAAAACAAAACAACCCAAAGGACAGTTTGTAACACTGATACTTCATCTCTGAAACGATTAGATGGGCAGAGAAATTTAAATACAAAACTGTACGTTTTCTGTTCATTTTGAGAGCCTTAGTCCTCAGGAAGAGAAGTTGGAGGAGAAAAAACAGGCCAGATCTCATTATAATATAACTTGAGAAAAACCAGTCACTCAAAGAGATTTAATAAAATTAGAGTTGAAAAGTGTTCAAATTACTTTTCCAATTCAAGTCAATTATTTCAAGTATATTAAAACGTTTCAGAGGAAAAATTTCTCCATGGTTACACTTCTAATTGCTTTTATAAATCCATAAAAAAGAAAAGTAGTCTCTACGTACATCCCATATTCCTCCAATGCATGCAGGCGCTCTCTCTGAAGGAAAGGTCGTCATGATCCAGTTGTTTCTTAATACTGATTTCAGGCACATCTTCCAAACACCCTTCCAGTTTTTGCCAAGAAGGTTAATTACTGGGCATAAAAGCAGCAATTTTCTGTTGCTGTTGTCTACTTGTGTACTGCGGAGGTTTCAGTGATTAAAGAGCTTGACACAGATTCCAAAAGAGTTCTTATGTCACTCTAAAATCCAACAGGTTCCTTCTTCTCTCAGGCAGCTTTTGCAATCAGATCTACTTAGAAGAAATCTTACACAATGCAGATAAAATCTCTTGGATCATACAAAAAAAAACAAGTTGGTTGAATGTACCTGGCAGGTTTGACTCTACAACTTGGATTTTTACCTTCTTTTTTTTTTTTAAAATAGCTTTAAAGTGCCCTAGTATAGTTATTTCTTTATTTCTCTTATTTCTTTATGCTCATTTAAACTTGCACAATTACATAAAAAGGGGACACTCAGTGTGATTACTGTGTTCTGAGAGACAGAGGAAAAGGAGAGGAAAATCAGAAAACTCATCTTAAAGCAGCTTTTTTCTAGTTACTGTCCGTTTGCTGAGCTTGTGCGGCAGAGACTGTTTTCCAGAGGGGTTTATGGTAAACCCAGCCATCTCCCTGCAATTTAAAGAGAAAGTATGGTTATCACAAAGACACTGCCTTGGGAGAACTGCCTTCACACAACTATTAGACTGATGGAGGGACAGAGCTACTGTCTGTAACTCCCACAGACTGAGGCACAGAGATCAGCACTGCAGGTTGCTGACACTGCTTCAGAACACGTGCAGGCTCCTGCCGAGCCACCACACTCTCTGGGAGCAGACTGCACTTGTAATTAACCCAGTCAAAAAGCCACTCTTCTCAACTGTGTGATCTAAATTACTTTCACAAGCCAAATAAACAGCCAGCAGAGAGGCAGCTACCCAGGATTATCAGCTCTACCTCAGCACAACTGCTTACCTGGAAATGCAGTGCTCAGGATGGTGTGTGAATGTTTTCTGAGTACATCTGTATCCAGGACTGGCAACAGAATTTCATATTTTGCAAATCTAACGATACAACTACCTAACTTTGAGCTAATCATACTAACACAGCATTAGAGAACAAAAACCTTCATGGAAGCTAGTCCTGAACTTGACAAAACAAACATGGAATATGTCCAAGAGAAAGAAACCCTTTAGCCTATGTTTTAAACCCTTACTAGATCACAATTATGGGGAGAAGAGGGGGAATTACATTACTGCAGTGTAACAGATAAAGTTTTCACTGTAAGGAGAATCTAAACTACTACAGCATTAATTTTACTCAAGAACTCTCCTGTTGCAAAGGGCTTAGCAGAGGTCTCTAGACAAGCAAGGTCTCACCACATGGACCACAAGAAAAGCTTATTTCAAAGTTATCATACCAGCATCCCCCAATCCTCCTGGGCAGGCTGCACTTCCCGTTGTTAAAAGTATTACTACATTATTACTACTACTATTATTACTGAAGTACAGGTTAAGACACTGAACAATTAAGTTCTATCCAAAATGTAATGCAGAAGAACAAAAAAAGTGGTAAGCTGAGAACGAACTCAATTTCTTCTTCCTAACAATAATGCCTTGGGTACATAAACACACAACCTCAGCAAAACTAGCACAACTGATTATTTTCTTTGGGCACATGTGTATATGCAAAACTATTTTCCATGTGCCATTAAGGAAGTGCTTGGTGAAAGAAACAGGACCAGAAAACTGAAAAACATTTTGATGCAAAATCCAAGCATTCACAAAGTGGAGAATGAAGTCATACCTTCACATGCTTACGAATTCTTATGTTACCTTACTCCTATAAATCCCACAAAGCTAAACTGCAAGATCTAAGGCCAAATACTCTATTCTGATAAGACACAGACCCATATGTGCCCCTGCCTGCATAACAGCTCTGCTTCTGCCTTCAGCAATAGCAGGTAACTGCTTGGAAACTTACATCTTTAAGGAAGTATTTAGTACACCAAGGTGTTTCTGTCTCAGCACGAAGTCTCTCTTCATTCCTCTGCCGTTCTTCCAGGGCTCGCTTGTGCTCTGTAGCCTTATCGATGTCTCCATCCCGCAGAGACTCTGTCACGTGCTGCCACAGCCTCCTGCAAAATTAACTGGTAACTTTACTGCTCCAAAGGCTTCCCAGCCAGCCACCTCAAACTGCAGGATCGCTGTGGAACAGGAGCACTCTCTCCATGTACACGTGACAAACCAGCCCAGGTCAGAGCACGGTAGTGCAGGTGAGGGTTCATGGCCAAGTCTGAGAGCTACTCCAGCAAATGGGAGCAGGTAGGAAGGGCTCTGAGGTTCTGGCACTGCCAATCTAATGTCTGTTTGCAAACCCTTTGAAGCTGCTATTGGAAGTGTTATTCAACAAACAGTTTCTTGTGAGGATATCAGGGGCTGCCTTGCTGTGTAGCTGATGCATAAAAACAAAACTAATAGGGAGATTCTGTTCTCTTGTAAGCATTTTGTGAACTCAAAAAATCCCCTCTGTTCATAAATAGGAGGAAAAATAAACAGCCATGTGCCTGCACTAGGGTTTTGCACTTTTTTTTTTTCGCTTGATTTTTATTTTTAGAAAACATTAAAAAAATAGGGTCACTGCTGCTAAGCACTATCCAAAAATACTATCTGCAACTGCAGGTTTTCCTAAGGCACTCACCAGACTGCTTAGGACAAAAAGGGTCAGACAAGAGCAAACACATACTCTACCTAGATTCAAAGGGGCCTTGCTTCTCCAGGGGCCGGACTCGTTTTCTTGTCACAAAGAGCTTTGTCAAGTCCACATATTTGGTCTCCCCGTTGCTGTAGGTGAACTCAAGCACACTGTTCCACTCCCCCTGCACTTTGCACACCACCGTGTTTGTCATGTTCTGCTTCACTTCACCTGTGACTCTAGGAAAGAAATTCATTTTTAAAAAGCCATGGCTGAAGAAACCTGAGGACTGTTCCTTGCATAATCACTCAATCCTGAATGAGTTTGCAAACTTGTCACACTGCCTTGAAAAAGGTTAGTTATTTGAATTGCATTTGTGTGGAGAAGCTCAAAGAGCAAAGTGACTTTCACTCACTGCTCTAGTTCTCTTCATGTTACCCAGGAAACTCCGTTTTTGGCTTCAGCTTGTTTCAAGCCTCTTAAAGAAACTGAATATGAAAAAGAAACTAACACAGACTGATTCACATAGAACATGCAGTTGATAGTATCCACCTGAAGTATCACATCAGACACATAGTTCAGACTTAATAAAAACTAAACTTTCTAGCAAGAATATATCTCACTATCTGCTGGCACTTCATCTTGTGTCTTTACATTTCAACCTTCTCCTTATGTAGGCGGTCTCATTTTCCTGTTGCTCACATAAGCAGCAGACACACAAAGGCAGAAAGCAAGGTAGGAAACTAGGAATCAGGAGAAGTGCTTTTGTTCCCTTCCTGTTCTACAGAAACCTCAGCCAATAACAAGGAAAATGTTTTTCTAACATGCAGTATTTAATTCAAAGTGTTTCATAATGCTCAAGTATCACCATAATTACACACACTGATGCGTATTTTTTTTCTCAGCTTCAAGACCTGCACAAAGACCTCCTGACATCCACTTCATCCTGACCTAGTTTTTGAGCATTGCTTGGCAAGCAAATTGCCAGTCTCAAATAGAACTTTTCTCCTAGAAACAAAGAAATAAAAATGTCTGTACACTATGCAAACGAGACTTGAGACATTCTCACTTGTAAGGTGCTGCAGGATTCACAAAGGATACTGTCTCTAGCTCCAATTAAACTGCAGTTAGCTGTACACAACCTCCCTAAAACTCACCACTTTCCAGCCCTCCTGCATTTCATCAGTGCTCACACAAAGCACAGGGTACATCTCCTTCCACACTTCCATTGTGTGCAGCTCAGAACAGCAAACCTGCACACCACCAGCTTGCTCTGATGTCCTTTGAACAACTGCATCCTGCAGGGTGGAAAGCAGCACTTCTGTGCTCCCACCTGGCGTGGGACACACTCAGAGGAAAAGGGAGCACAGGACACAAGTGCCACTTCCCTTCTTTCACACACACTGGTCACTCCCCACTCTGCCCGCACCTACCAGTCTTCCCCAGTCCTAGCATCAAAATAAGAGAAATTTATCTCTCAAGCAATGGAACGAGTATCACAGGTGAGACTTTCCAGCACAGAGCTACTGGATGCCAGCCAAAGCAGCCTTGCAGGGAATCTCCAGGGCAAGTGGGAAAGCTCACAGCCAGCTTACAGCAGGAGGCAGCTGCCAGGACTTCTGTCACACCACAATCCAGCAGCTCAAACCTGAATTAACTTCATGAGAAATATCTTAAAAAACCCAGGCTGATAACTATATGCTGCTCACACAGTTTACCATTACAAAAACTTAAGATTTGTTAAAAAAAACATGAGCAATAAAAGCACATTTACTTTCTCTTTTGTGCAAGTTAAGAAGCACTAACAATTACTGAAAACAGCAGACAGAGTAGCTGACAAGCAAGCAGCCTTAAGTTTGTGCTTCTTATCCTGCGACTTCCACACCTCACCAAAGCTATTACACATGGTGGAGTCCCTGTCCTCCTCCCAAGATGATCTCTGAACAGCCTGGATCCACAGGATGCCAGAGATGAGCCTAGTCAGACTCTGCAGTTACTTCTTCACAACTTTAACAGCTTGATTTTTTCCAAGCATTGTGTGGTAACATGACAATACTGACATCTAGTATTTTAATATCAATATCAAAATTACTGTCTCTGGTCAGCAGAAAGTAAATATAAAGTTGTATCACTCATTACTGAGGTGCAGTATGAACTGCTCCATTAAACTCTCATTATCTGTATTTCTCCAGGTTGCATTGCTCTGACACACAACCACTGCCAGCAACTGCAGACCAAAGTATCTGCCTGAACCTGCACTAGTGATAAAAAACTGCTGGCTCTTATTTGTAATCTTGGCATGACTGATACATGTCTAGCTGTCCATTATCATTATCTTCTATTTCATCCAGCTAAAGAGGTACAGGACCAAGGAGCCAACTGAGTTCCAGCTGAGGTCTAACAACAAGGGTCACTCTACAAAAAAATCCATACCATTGCCATAGCAACTCCTGTGCGCTCTGAGTAACCATGACAACACTGCTGCTTCCCATCAAGAGATTCTTTTGGCAATGTCCAATCATCACCACGTCAAATTTTCAATAGTTACAGTACCTTGAACAGATCTCTCTTTAAAAAGCCTCTACATCTGTGACTAACTTCAGAGAGGCAAACAACAAAGCAGTTTCCAAATTAAATCACTGAAGTAAAACTACATCCTCTAACTTATCTCTTATGACACAAGAATAGCTATTGCAAAGTGGAAGATACATCCTGGAAAAAAACCCAAATGATGTGTCACTTTCAAATTGCACCAAGTGAAACAGAACTACATGCAAGCTTCAGTTCTCCAAAAATGAGATCAATCTTATTTCAAACAAACAAAATGTTCTCACCGATGCAATTTGCCACCGTAGAAGGGCTTGGTGTGAAATGTATTCTTCTCCGTGTTCCAAGAGATGTAAGATACCTGTGTGAAGAAATATAAGAATCTGTAAACCAGTACCATTTCAGAAAAGGCCAAATAAGTTGTTGAAACAAATAGTCAATACTACATTTGGCTCATTTTCCTCATAGCTCTTCACACAAAAAAAAGTTAAAAAATTCACACAAGAGTGTCAATTATTAGATTCTAGATACAAACATTTTCCTTTACTAACTTGAGTAATGTGCATTTAAATCTCTTCTGGGAAAATATATTTATCTCAATAATACTGTTCCATAAAGTACAATCCCATGCTATGCACATACTTTTCAGAAGCACATAGAAGAGCTGGTCACTGTCTTACTGACAGCTCTGGAGCACAGCAAGACAAGACGTACACTGACAAAAGGAAATAATGAATGAATTCCCTGAGCTGCAGATCCTGAGGAGGGCTAATACTCCTGCTTTCCCTTTCTGTAATACACCTTGCCCAATCTGAAGGCAGGTAGCAGAGACAATTCTTACAGCATCTTTCTGCCAAGATAAACCAAACTCCTTCCTGACACCGACTTTTGCAATAAATGTCAAGAATGTTATTAAATATTAGAATTTTTGGGGGGGTTTTAAGATTAGTGGGTTTGATTCCTATAAATAGTCCAAAAGCACAAGATCTCCCTCTTGTCCTTACAAGAAAACAGCACAACATCTAACTGCTGCCTGCTCCAGCCTCTGGGGCACAGTACCCCTGGGTGTCTGACATCAGCAAAAACAACACAGGAAATTCTGAGAAAAGTTATGGTTTGAGAAAGGTCCTACAAGAGATCAGCTTCAGAAATTACACCTGTACAGCCAAAGATGTGCCTTTCATACACCCTGGCATTCCCTTGGTCATTCCCTTGTCCAGAGTGTAGTTTATAGTTTGTAGCAAGTGCCTGGAATCTCCAAGTACTGGATATAATACACAGTGGACACAGAGGCTGTCTCATCTTGTGCAGGAAAATTACAATTTGAAGGCAGTTACCCTTCTCCGTCCCTAAAGGTTCCAATTTTTCTAGTTAAAGAAAATCAAAATGTGCATAGGAAGATTAAGTGCCATACAGAGAAATCCAACAACAGTTCTATTTAATAAATGCCTGATGCAAATTAATTCATAAATATCCGTTTACATCACAGTAACTGATCTTTGGCTTAAAAGTCAATGTTTTATTTCCAAACAAAATCCTGATTTTTGTCAAAGTATAAACCTTTCTATTTTTCCCTCCCATTTAAAAATTTGCTGTTTACAGCAGTGACAACTTGTATCTTTTGAATATAAAATCAAATTTGCTATTAAATTACTAATATTTTAACAAACTTCTAAAATGAACAAAGGACAGAATTTACACCTACCCTCGCCAACCATTGTCACTCCTATTGACATTCCTAGGAATTTACTTTTTGTCCAGACGTGGGCATTGACACACATGTTCCTCTCTACACACTCAGCATAAAACCCTGAGACAGGAGGATGGTGGGACACTTGCTCAGCTACGAATTTCACCGTGTAATAGTCCGGCTCAGCTTGGCCTTCCGCATCTTTAGGCAGAGTTACTTGCTCCGAGGGGGAGTGAGCAGAGGAGTTGGTGCCAGCATCGGTGGCCACGTTGCTCTTGGGCATCCTCCAGGAGCAGTGGAAGGTCTCCCCAATGATGGGGTTGTAGGGCTTCTTGGCAATGGCTCCCTTGCGGCCCTCGTGGAAGGAGGTGAGGTAATACTCCACAAAGCGGATCATCCTCTCCTCGGGGCTGCTGCCGTTCGTGATGGCGATGAAGAGATCGGGGTGGGACATGAAGTCCGCGTACATCTCCAGCAACGACCGCTTCTCTAGAATGAAAGTGGGAAGAACCACCTGAAAATGAAAGACAAGTCATAAGGCTCAAGTAAGGAAAACTGAGACAGGCATTTTATAAGAGAAGTCCTTGGGAGAAGGATTCTGTCCTTTCTGGGACACCACACTTTCTGAGTGCACTCCCTTGTTCCTCTTGTAAGATGTGAGCAAAACACAGTGATCAGAAGTTCCAGAAAAACAATTTACAAGGAGAAAAAAAGCCCAGTGAGTAGTACTAGTAGGACTAAAGAGATCAAAAGGGACTGAGCATCAGGTAAAAACCCCCAAAAACATGCAAGAGCTGCAAAGAGATAATGTGTCCCATATACCTGTGAAAGAGAAAACAAGCATGAAGGAACTCAAACTACAGCAAAGAAGGTTCAGACTGGAAGTTAGGAAAGGTATGGTCTAATGGAGAGGAAAGCTGGGAAGCTATGCCAGCTCTGGAGAGCTTATAGAATCTCTCTCCACACAGCAACTAGGACAAGCATCCATGAGAAGCAGCATAGGATGGGTTGACTCTCTGTCTCTGAGCAGAGGTACCTTATACTTTCACAGTTACATTCAACACTACAAAAAACAGCAATCCTGCCCTTCCTGAGCCAAGGGCAACCCCCTAGAGTGAAAGGCTGCAGATATCATCAGTGTTTTCTTTCTCTGCAGTGGGAACAAGCCTCACATAGCTACACTCACATAACTAACTAACTGTTGTAAACAGCAACACAGAGTGTATCTCAGCCATGAGATCAAAACAATCCATTTAAAATCATCTGCATTCAAAGAGAAAAAGCACAGACATAAGACTTAATAGACATTCAAGTTAAACTGAATACACTTGCTATGTTGTTGCAACATCAAACTTAAGTATTAAGTAGCTTTTCACTTTAGTACCCTGATATAAAGTACAATTCTAACAAATTCATTACTTGTTTTGAAGTCAGGTTTGTCCATTTCAGCGCTTTGCCTCCTCTGAAATAAACACAATTTTCCCTACACAGCCAAAGGTTACAAGTGGGAGACAGGCTCAATAATTTGTTCCAACTAAGAGAAAAAGATATCCTAAATCAAATCTTCAATATAAGTGAAAGAGTGACTTAATCAGTTCCTAGTTTAGCAGCAGGAGTTTAAGTCTGACCCACAGACAGGGCCTGTTCACACCACCTTTTTGTTTTCTCTCTCAAGTTGTGAAACAAGTTGCACAATACAAGTGTTCCTACAGGCTATGCAGCTAGTGCTCAAAAAACATAGGTTTAAAAAAGAATAATAATCCATAATTCCAAGAAATTCCAAGAAAGAGTGTTTTCCTCATTCCATGCTACGGTAAATCCATTTTTTATTTCAAAGTGCCTAGTGCTTATGGCAAGAAGTCTTTATGGGAACAACTTGAACACAAGCTGGTAGCAGCCTGATTTTCCCAGATTTGCTGCCCAAGTTAATAGCACCTGAGTGTCACTTTTTCCAAGCTGCTTGCTTTCGAGATCTGCACTCAAGTGTTAAATCCAATTCTCTCCAGTGTAACTTTGTTCTTGCCTGCTTGTGAGCAAACACAGAAATAAGAATAGGAAAGAGGCTTTAACAGGCATCTAAAGATAGATAAGGGGGAACCAAAAGAAAACTTATTTTCAGAAGCAGCATGGACACAGGTGTAGGGTTATACAAGTTGTGTGGAAAAGCATTATCAAGATAGAAAAGAGATCATGGAAGGAAAGCAGAAAGAAAAATATGAGAAGATTGTAGAAAACAGCATGAAAAGACTGAGGTTCAAACACTGGAAAGAAAACAGGCCGTTACAGGAAAGGCAACAAAAACACAGTAGAAAACATAAAAAGAAGGTAACAGAAAAGACAGTCAGCACATTTCACCTGAACCTGTCTCAATCTGGGACATCATCCTGGGACCTGAAGTTGCTACTGTCCACAATTTCATACTAAACTCAACACTGTTCAATACAGGAGTTGAGTTTTAAATGACACTTCACTTTTACTGCAGCCAGTCTTCACACCTCAATTACTTACTCTTGTTAAGTCCATGCCAAGTTTCAGCTGAGACAAAAGATGCAAGATAACACTGCGCTGCTCTTCTACTGCCCCTAGATCATCTTCTTTATCATCACAGATATCCTCCAGCTCCTCATCTGGATTTATTTCTTCAGGTTCCTGGAATAAGAGCCATAAATTTAGCACAAAGATGTAACTGGCCAGACAGTATTCAAAAAGTACTTCATATTGTATTTAACTGCCCATGTATGAAAAAAGACTAAATAAACTCCCTGCAGAGAGCTACACAATGGAATTTACTCCCAAGATAAACAACAGCTGAAGATTTTGAATGGATATGAAGATAACTCATTGCAGACTCCATCTGGAGGATTCAGGCTCAGATTTCTCACCCTCTCTCACATGGGTCATGGAAAAAAAGAAAAAAGCTTAAAAGAAATTCCTGTAAGTTTTGTGTGTTCACAGAATGTCAAGCATCTAACACATACATAGAAACAGCAAAGCAAAAGCTAGCAGCAATTCCAACCACCTCAATAACTCCCTCCACCTCCACACCACTTCAGCCTTTCCAGTGTTGCCATCACTACTCCAAAGACTGTGTCGGACTGTAGTTCTGAGTTCCGTGACTACCATCATGCCTGGTATCTCCAAGCTGCGCTTCACAAGCGTTATCATGTTGCTGTGAGTGCAAATATGTTACAGTGAAAAAAAAAATAACTCAGAGTAGTTTCAATACAACAAAACCCCGTGCATATTACACTGCAGGTGCTGGTGTCTGTGTAACTGAAGCAGACAGACTAGAAATTACATCTGCAGGGGAGAGGCACTGAATGCCACAGGAAGGCAGCAATATGCCTCCGCATAAGCAAAGCTCTTTGTCCTGGAACAGCTGTCCTGGCTCAAGGCAGATTTATGAACACTCAGCCATGAAAAACAGTGGGCCAAGCCCTCACACAGAGCTCAAATCCTGATGGCAAGTACACAGAGGTGACTCCTTTCCAAGGATGCTATGCTGTCTGCTCTCAGAAGTAAGAGAGCTGAAAATACCTAGGGGGAGTGATAACACTAGTCATACCTCAAATACATTTAGTACTCAAACTGTGACTAGCTTAATTACTGATAGGAAGGAATTAAGTGATTTAGTTCAAAGCTCCCAGTTTTGTTTCATCTTTTCTTTTTTTTAACTTAATAGTAACTACTCTGACCCATTTAAAAATCTATAAACTATAGCAATTGAAAAAAATTCTTTCCATTTTGATTTTTCTGTAAGACAGCCCAGTGCTATTGCAGAGACATAAAACAGCACATTATCTTTTCACAGTTACACAGCCACAGCCAAACAACTGTGTGAAACCAACTAGCATAAAGAGGATGTAATTATGATTTTCTAGCTTAGTTAGGAAAACATGTTCTTCATCATAATCCCTGCTGGTTTTTCACTTCAGTGTTTTGCAATTCAAATCCATTTTGTCAGTTATAATGATACAGACTGTAGCTGAAAATGATACAGACTGTAACTGTATTTCAAATGCATTAAGCCACCCTGCAGTCAAATGATGAGAGCTGCTCAGATTAAGAAAAACAGATGCAACAAGACCTAGAAAAGAAAGGGAAATGTAATAGCTGAAGACCAGCAATTTTGTCTTTTGTCTGCCTAGGCAGCTCTTCTTGGGCCTATTTTGAGAGTGTCATGAATTTCAGTTAAGTAGTATTCCCTTGCATTTTATCTAAAACAAGTAAATAATGAAGTGCAAAAACCTATTTCAATGCCTTGCATTGCCACTCCAGTTGGCTCCCTCCACTTGACAGCAAGTTACATAAAGCAGCAAAAATGTGTTGAATAAACAAGGTAGAGAGTTTCATTTACCACAACTGTCCTCACTCCTCCTAAACAGCTAACCAAAAGTATGAGAATAACTGTCATTAAAACATTTTCACATAATATGATTGAAACATTTACAGGTATTCCTCTGAATAATTCCCCACAGAAATGGGATGTCACATTACCTTACCCTTGTTAGCTGGCAGGGCTCTGCAATGGACTGCTCTTCTCTGACAGATTCTGGCTTGTTTATCTCTGCTGGGAAATTCTGAGCTGCTCCATTTTTGAAGTGGTTTGCCAGGGAGATCTTCGGTTCCAACCAACTGATTGTCGTTCCTGAAGCAAAGGAAAGTTTGCGCTGAAGCTTGCTCATCCTCTGCAAGGTCAGTAAACAGCAGTTTCCAACAAAAGAACTAGTTTTATGGAATAAGCTGAAAGCAGCCAATTCCTCCTGCAGCCAATGCCTCCAGCAGCCACTAAACAAAGGTGGTGCAATGAGACACCACCTTCAGTGATCATTAGCACAAACACTGGGATTGGTGAGCTGTAATACATGCAACTTGGACTGGAGAAACTAGTTGGTGTCATGAAAGGTGTAATCAGACACTACAGGAGGAGCCCAGTATCATGGGAATGTTAAGCAGCCCTTACACTTTTTTTTAACTGGTACCAAAATATATATAAGAAAAACAGCTTTCCACTTACTGGCTTCTGAAACCCAGCTCTGTTCTAGACTAAAAAAACCTAAAGAAGAAGTTTTGTTGCCACTGTTTTCTCTGGAGGGGGTGCTTGTCTTTTCTTAGCTGCCGAGAAGGCAGGCACACAGTGTTGAATAAATAATAGCTGTCAAAAAAATCAAAAAAACCCCCAAAAAACCCAAAAAACCTGCAGGGTTTGGAAAGCTACTACCCACCTGATGATCCCAGCATCTCTAGTTACTCTCAGTTAATTTATCAGAACGGGTCAGGTTCCTCATTAATAATACAAATGTTCCATTCTTTTTCAAAGGGTAATAAATGTACAGGTGATTCAGTTTTAACTGAAGAATACACAAACTGACAAACCATCTTGGCTGGGTTGCAAACACAGAAATTACTAGGAAACCTAAATTTCTACCACCAGATAACAGTTCCCTGTGCTATACTAAGATATCTGTACTACAGTGTCTGTTGTCTCTTCCCATATGATACACAATCCTGCATTTCCTGACCCCTGTTACCTGCAACTAGGTCACATCCTCAACCAAAACAGGCAAAGTGAGCTTAATTCAGATAAACAGCAGCATTTTCACCAGAAAAATACTGGAGCAGGAGAAAAGTCCAGCTTTGCTATTGAGACAACTTTCCTACAGCCAGGTAGGTTATTTTCATCATCCATTACTCATTAATCCACTACATCATAAGAAACAAAAATTCCTGACCACACTAAATTAAAACTATTTAAACAGAAGTTTCAAAGAAGTCAAAAATATGGTCAGAATGCTGCTGTTACATCTTTTTGAGAAGGTTTCGCTTGCCTTAAAAACCTCTCCATGACATCTGCTTTCTAAGCTGTAACTTTCAACACACTAATCTCTAACTGCATGTTCTAGGCTGCATTTAATCCACACTCACTGCCTCTGTATTAGCTTGAATTCACCCAATAGTGTCTCTTTAATACTTTCTATCAATTACATATAAAATAACCTTATTTATTACATTTTCTGTTTAATTTTTGCTGTTAAGATGGCATTTTTGAAAGATTTGAGCTATCAGCTGTGTTTTAATCTTTGTGAATGGTCTGGTACAGTACAGACCTCTTGAGTTTTCACTTCCTACATTTTTCTTCAAGAGTTGCAAATTGTTGTCACACACCACTTGTGACTGGAATTTAGGAAAAGGTGGAACTTTCTTGTTCATCTTTAAGTTTGTGATTCAGAATACATTTTGATGTGTTGGGGTAATATTTTCAGTCTTCTGATTGGTTTTTTTGGGGTTTTTTTTTTTGTTCATTGGTTTGGGTTTTTTTTGTCATCTAACAGTCTATAGTAAACTGGCACTCTTACATTATTCCTAATCCTTGGTTTTTAAGCCTGGCTTCACGAGTTGAATCAAAAGTATCCCTCCTTAGCCAACAGGATAAATCTGAGCGAAATGGATTAAAAAATATATAAATTTAAAGGCTCTTGGCAATCCTTGAAAGGAACAAATGTAGTGTCTTGAGAAAGGCCACAGCAGGGGGGAGATGGAAGGCTGCAGAAAGACACAGGTATTCTTTTAATGGTCTCTTTTTTTAACTCTGGCCCCAGTAATGCATCATCCAATCTGCTGATCCTCTCTTCTCCATCCACCTCCCCAGGATATCACCAGAAATCTTCAAGATTTGGACGTATTCAAGCAGTATTTTTAGACTTGGCCATAACAGGCAGATACCAACTGAAGAGCAGTCAGTGAATTAAGCTTTTGCCCTCATGGTTTAAAAATTTAAAAACCTACACCACTTGTCAAAAAAAACCCCGAACTAAAACTATCTTAAGTTATTACAGTGGTGCTCATTGGCCCTACTTATGCCCTCAGATATAAGTCGAAAATTCATCTTAGTACTGCATATGTGAAAATGCCAAAACAAAAATACTTCTCATGTGTATCTCCCACAGTTATGCATCAACAGTTAAAAAATTCAGAGACTAGGAAGAGTTCTTTCAGGATAACTTCACAGTTCAGACAAATATCTCAAGAGTTGCCATCCAGTTTTTTATGTTTAAAATGAAATTTTGAACTGAAATACAGCAAAAAGATTTATTCAATCTATTCACATATTCTCTTTTAATGCCTCTGGTGATTTCAGAATCATAAACACTTTTTATATAGCTTTAATGTTTTTATATAACATTTTTTCATCTTGGAAGCAAAGTCTATTACAGCTCTGAAATAATATGCCCTGGCAAAGCAGGCACCAAAAATATGAGAAGAATATGGGACAGATAAAGGGAGAGACAACTCATTTGTACTTTGTTACACACTTACTATATCTACTGATCTGTTGTGCAAGAGAAGTATTTGAAAATCCTAAAAACCTCACAAAAAAGCCAGAAAAACAAGCTGCAGAATTTACAAACAATTATGACCACATTCAGTTCCATGTACTGCACATGAATCAGGTAGAACAATTCTACTAAGCTCTTACTTGCATAGAAGTGACCAATTGTGCAGACATGGCAACATATTTGTCTGCTGCCTGCACATATTCCACACCCATCAGCAGCAGGGTTTGGGGGGGTTTTGTTTGTTTTTTGGAGTGGTCAGTTGTTTATTAAAAGAGATTTTCTATTTTTCTCAACCTTTAAGCAATTTTCATTGACTAGTCCATTCTGGCATCAGACTAGAATCCAACACATTTCTTTAGACCGTGGTTTAGAGTAAGGCAGTAACTCAAAACAAGAACACTGATATTTAACTAGTATTAGTAACAACCAGTGCAAATTCAGAGTTTTGTATTTTAATGCTTAACTAGAAATGGAAGCTACATTTAAATAAGTGTATAATACATACTTACAATAGGTAATCAGTGTGCAAAAAAAGAATTTAAAAAGCATGACATTTGGCAGAGTTGTAGTGGACACCACATGTCCAAGAATCTGCAATCTTATAAAATTCCCCCTCCACTATTACAGTTATATCCCAAACGCAGCCTTCATCTTGGGGTGCCTTACATGGTTTATTCTGTAGTGAGATGTTACAACAATTAGATGTCACATTTATGCAGCTGCTGCCATAGACTTCCTGATAAAACAAATGATTAAAAAATATATATTCAACATGCACAGAGTTCCACCCAACACAAACAAGTTGTAGTCTGGAAAAATTGACAAGAAACCAGGCAGTCATCAGTTTTCTTTGCCCATGTGTTAGTGGAACAAACATTTTTGCATGAAGGAAGGGATTTGTATTTGTTACAGAGCTCTGCTCCCTGTGAGCACCTATACCCACCTGCTGGTAAGGATCCCTTTTGTTGAGAAGCATGTTGTAACTGGAGAATATGGAAACAGTCATTTAAGCAGTTCATGGTTGCCATGGAAGTTGCTTTGAGCATCAATAGGTCCTGATCCAAGGATGTAAGGTGACCGGAGGCAGGAAGGCATTCTATGCTCCTGATCAAATCTCTCTGCTGGCCCTCAGCCTGAGACATCATCTGTCAAACAAAACAGTCACTTATCAGGTGGTAGAAGTGTTGTGTAATACCTGTTCAGCTGTGCACACAGAGGACCCCAAAAGGCATCAGAACAGTAATAAAACTACAAGGTAACAGATGTAAACATACGTAAAAAACAGAAACGCATGTAAAATTAACTGTACTTTTTTTATTGACTGTGAGAGCTACTACTACAACAGAGTCATTAAATGCATGATGAATCTACTCACAAAAATACATGGCACTTTATCAACAAGCAAAAGAATATGAAAGTGGCTTTAAAAAAAAATGCAAAGAGGAATTTGAACAAGATACTTGTTGCAGTAAATATCAAACTTTCATGCCTAGTTGATAGGGATGAGGTAAGAGGGGAATTGCAGGATTACAAATATATGAAAAAAAGCTAAAATCCTAAGGCATCACCACATACACTCTGTATGAGAAGTAACTAAGCTCCATGCTCTGCACAGCCTGGAATAGGATCTACTGTCTGTGGGTATCAAGATTTTTTTTCACTCCCTACAATCAGAGGTGCAGTACTTTAACAGAGAAGACCTGTATTCCTCATTTTGGCTTAAACCATAAAGGATCTTAATTTACTGTCTGCACTGACACCACACTGATTATCACTATCTCAGCGTTTACTTTGCAGGGAAGGAAGAAAAGCCAGCAGGATTTTCACTTTCATTCTGTGTTCAGATTGCAGCTGTCCTGTCCTGTTACCATTGTTCCCCCTGCTCTCCCCCAAGCTCCTTTCCTGCTTCACACAGAGCTCCACACCCCTAAATCACAGAATCTTCAACAGCACATCTGCCCACATGAGGTACAGGGGCAAAGCACACCAGCCATCAAGCAGCACTTTCCTCTTTATACTCACAGAAACAAAATATTACCTGATTTTGAATCACAAGGATGAAAACAAATTCCTACACATGCTAGTGTCCTTTCTGGAGAGAAGCAACAAACAGAAGCCATGTAACTGGGCAGCACTACCCTGCAATCATTACATATTCTGATAGTGAAGGTAAATGTAAGGACAGATTGATTTAGAAGGGCAGCACCAGAATTTCTTTAAAAAGCCTTTAAAGAATTGTGCATTTAACTGCTATGGCACTATGTAGCTTTTTCATTCCAATTATTTAATTCCCAATCCTAGCAGTATCTGACTGATTTTTTTTTTCAATACTACTACCTGCAATCCCTTCCAGGAACTGCTTTTAAGATTTTATACAATACTTAAGGAACACGTATTCATCCAAATTCATACTATGTGATCTTTAGAACTTTTAAGGGCATGGCTCTGTAGCATGAGAAGCTGCGAATTTACAGAGCATTGGCTCTTTAAAAGTGGTGTTAACTGTGCAGAGACAGCCTTAGCATATACCAAGAGCAACAGGGCAGAAAGCTACTAAAATATTTAGTTATAGATAGCCTTGCCTACACAAACACACCAGCTGCTATCACAACATGTGTTTCATTTTTCTCCAGCCACAAACGTGATAAAAGCCTTTGTGTGCATTTTTTTCCCAACTTTGAAAAAGTGTGTTGGCTTAAAAAGAAACCCACACAAAAACCCTACAGACAATTAGTTGACAAATCACCACAATCCTTCTGGTGACCTTTACTGTTAGTAATTCACCATGTGGTAGGCCCCAAGCACTTCATTCCTGGACAGACCAGACAATAGGACAAGCCATGAAGTTCAAATAGGTACATCTTCCTTTTCAAAGAACACACTTTGAACAGTCCTAAGGCTTTTCCTATTTATACACTCAGCTTTGGGGAAAAAAAATTAGTGCCAGGAGAAGAAAAGCACAGTGACTAAAAGTCCAGAATCTTGGAAAAATACACACTGTTCACAATACAAAATGCAAAATTGTTCTCACTTTGCAAACACACAGACACCTGCATTAGGTGCAAGTTAGCAGAAAGATCTTAAACCTCTTGCTTTGCACAGTAACCACGTCAGCATCATGACACATATTCAGCCAAGAACAAGGGGAAATTAAAGGGAAAGGGACTGACAAGGAGACCCAGGTACAGTGCAGTGCATGGGAAAATCAGAAATGGTCACAATGTAGCAGATCCTTTCAAAGAAGTTGCTCTTTCCACAGCTTTTCAAAATGAATTTCTAAGTGTTCAAGCTGTACCATGTTCAGGGGTAACAGGCAAGTACCTGCCCTTCAGTATTTTAATATCTAAAAAAAAGTAGGCATTGTATCTAACAAGAATTTTAGCTTAAAAAAGGCAAGCAAACTAATTTTAACAATCAGAAGAGCCAGTACTACAAAGAATTCTTCCTCTGTGCAGGTCAAAAGTTTTTAAGTTGATAAATAATCATGCTGTGCCACCAAACTCAGCAGCAATCAAAAGAGCAGGAATAGCTTCCTGTGCTCTTTGTAATGCCAGGAAGTCATTCCACTTTATCCCAATTACAGGACGCAAGCCACTGCTTCAGTGCCCCAGCTCACACATACTCCTCTTTCCTCCCTGAAATTTTGAATGCCATAATGGTGTTTGAAAATTCAAAAACTGAAAAAGCCATTTCTGAAACATTTTTATTTTCCTGAGTACCTTGCAGAGCTTCACACATGTCTGCATTAGCACTATAGGAGACTTTACTGCTCTATGAGGATAAAAACAGGATGGCAGCAATTACCCTTTTGCTAGACATCTGCAAGAACAGTTTGCTGTGGAGAGAGATTCACAGACTCTAAGGTTTAAAGAGGCACTCTGTGTAAGCTACTGAATAATTACACCTTAGTACCTGATATAAATCGGGGCACAATGACAGCATGCCATACCAGTGAAACTATCTGCAACATCCATTTACTGGAGAACTTACCACAGTGCTCAGCCACATATTTTAAGGTTAATGAGGTTCACTCTTCTATTCCAGTTTGTCTAAGTTCAGTTTCTAGCTATTCACACTTCCTGTATCTTTATTCGCTAAATTAAAAAGCCCTCCATTAGAGACTTATTTTTGCCAAGAAATGTATCACACCACACTAATTACAGTTAACATTAAAATACTCATTAACATAATATTACCACTAAGTAACACAGGTCAGCAATGCTTTATCTTTAGATAGGCAAGATCCACCCTGGAATTATCCACAAGCTAAAATCAACCAGTAGTCAGTCTGTTCTATCAATCAAGATGGAAAGGTAATTATATCTGGATTTTTCTCCCAAAATACACTACATCTGAACATATAGTGAAAAAAACCCCAGGTGTCTGAATTGCTCTCTTCTCAATCATATCCATCCCGAGACAATTCATCTAAATGAATCAGCACACCAGAAAATGGTATTAGCATTCTGAAATATCAATCAAGACCAACTTCTCTTAGCCATGAGAGATAAAAGCACAGCTTAGTCAGTTCTTCTATAGCTTCTCATGGGAAGAAAAATGTACAATAGTATCATAGTATGTGCTGTTATACCCCTTAAGGATACTCCCTTGTCACTTGTAGTGCTACAACTTGTAAGACTGAGAACATGGTTCTACCTTCAGCATCAAGACACTACTGCAGAGAACAAAAATCACAAAATATATACCATGTATTTCTACAATTAGCCAGGGCAAATTACTTATCCTCACACAGCTGTGCAGTAATAGCTTAGGACATGCTACTGACAATATATCCAAATAAGAATAGCAGGTTTCTCCGCAACCTTACAAATAACACCACAACTCTCACAGAAAACTGTAAGGGAATTTAAAGCATACAAACCTCTCTAACATCTACAAGGTGATCTGGCTGCATAATGGGAACTCTTTTTCCCGTTGGCAATCTGTGATGTCCAACATTGAAGAAGGAAACTGCATTTTGACTGGGTCTTCTCTGCACACCAGGAGAGTTGGCACTTCCTTGGGATGCAAGAGAGAAGCTGCGAGATTTCAGAGGAGGGTTGTTCTAGTGAATAAATAAGCATATTGAGAAACATTTACAATTAATCCTAATAACCAGCAAGTTCTAATGTGAAAGATGCAGCAGAACAGTTTAATTTTTAATTTTTTATAGAGCAAGGAAAGACGGCAAAGCTCTAATAATGTTTTAGTAGCAACTGCTAAATATTCTCCACTGTCTGCTTCTAGCTGCCCTCTTTTATAATCTAATTAAGAACAATCTGTATCAGTAAGTATCGCTTCTCTGACTTGAAGATCAGTCCTTGTTCTGCAACAGCACTAGAAATTGACTCCTAACAGATCCTGCAGGGATAGAGCTGACATTTAAAAAAATGGAAATTCATTTAGAGCTATTAAATCAACTTATCTCTTACAACAAAACTAGCTAGAAGATGTTGATTGTTACTTAAAAGCAAGATTTTATTCAGGTATTAGAATGGTGTTAGGGCAATCAGGAGGTTCTGTGAAATACAGTATATGCATACCCACCACATTGTTAGCAAATACAAACAGTACTCAGATATAGCATTGAGGATGTTTTTCTCAAACATGGAATTCATCCTAAGTTTATTGGTGGGCTGCTGAGTGGTTTTTAAAAAGTAGGGGCTTAAAAAAAAAAAAAAAAGAAAAGAAGTAGCATTCCCAAAATGGAAGGGCTTCAATAACACTGAAGCTGTATTTGCAACTGCTTCTATCACCAGCCTGAGTTTTGCCCACGAGAGCATCAGTCATACCTTTCCAATAGCTTCTGTGTGATGCTGTGTGCATATCTGTAGCCTGCTAACCCAGTGCTGTCGCTCTTTAGCATCAGTAGCTAATAAAAGCAAACCAAAAGGATTCTGTTAAATGAAGAAATTTCAAATTACGGGCAAAAATGACTGCTTAATTCTTAAAAATCACAAGACTAACAGTGCAAAGTAATTTATTTTTAATCAAAACTCATTTGACTGTAATAACTATAATGTTAAGTCAAGTTCAACATAAATAGTATATATTTTCTTCTTTTTTTATGCTATTTTTAGTGTAACAAAATGAATTAAACATCAACAAACCACAACTGCCTTGTAATCTAACAACATGAAACATTTTCCTGGAATAAGAGTAAGATACTCCAAATTAGAAAATTACAGCAAGCCTTCAAGGGAAGAAATACTCAAAGTTATTAGCCTAGATTTCTGCAGCCTACAAAATCACAGGATGGGCTTTTATAACCACCATAAGGTGGCTAACAAACCGAATGTTAGGAATAATTAAATTCTCTGTGAGCATCACCACAGTATTGCTACCTACACCAATTTAGAAAACTTGGAATCAGTACAATTTAAGGACACTATACATGAAGATTAAATCCTATTCTACACATATGAATTCTTTTGACGGTCATCAAACCCAAGTGTTACAGAACTATCCATAAATAAGGACCATTTCTAGCTGAATAGTGGGATGGAAGTTTTAAACATAATTTTTATGGCAGCACTTTGCCAACCAGGTTGTCTCACTTTGGCCCTGCAGCCAGGTCCAGCCAAGCAGCCCCAGGTGAGAGCCAGGACTGTCCTCTAGTGGAAGGATCCCCTGCCCAAGAACCCAGGTCCTACCTCTTAGTTTATACTGCTCCCCACTGGCAGCGTTGACTGTAAAGGTGTGAGAGTCTTCATCGCTGGGTGAAATGACAGCTCCAGCCAGCTGCAGGGTACCTCTGGGCTTCAGATGTCTAGACTGCTCATTCACAAAGTACTCCAGCAGGCCAGCATCATTGTTTAAAACAAAAAACCTGCAAGGATAACAAAGCAAATACACTGAATACAATCAGCTCCTTTTCCTTTTTTTTTTTTTTTTTTTTTTTTGCAGGTGGTGGCACTGGGAGAAGTCACTAGTCTCATTATAAGTTCACACAGATGGGATTGGGACTAAAAGACCTGTGTCAGGAAAACCTTAAACATGTGAGTTATGTCCCCAAAATGACACAGAAATTAATTCCTTGGCATTTTTTTCTCAGAGCACAAGGATTGCACAACAAAACAACATGCCCACAGAAGAACACTATTGCAAGATTTTGGGAAACAAAAATTATATCCTGAATCATTAGGGCCTAATAAATCCTTAAACTACATACATTAAGAATAAGACACCCCAGATACAAAGGTGCTGAAACACAAAACCATGAAACTGAAGCAATTCCAGATTTATTTTTTTTTTTAATGGAACTGAACATTAAGCTTCAAGTTTCACTTGAGTTTAATGCTGAGAGTAATGACACAAGTCACTCCATGCCAGGGGCAGCACAGGTGACACAGTGTGGTACACTAAAGACTTGTCTCTCCAGCATTAATTTGGTTGCACTGTGCTGCTCTAGGAACAACATTAAACAAGAAATCTGACCAGAGAATTTCACTTGACACAGAAAATCAAGTTATTCCAGGGGAGACAACATCCTGGGGAAAGGGAAAAGCCTGCTTGAGTTTGAATTTACAGTAATAAAGTCTTAATTTTTTTAAGTGATAGCATTATTTGGCACAAAGGTGAAAACTCAGCAGAAAACACAAAGACAATATTTTTTAATGGAAAAGGAGAAAATACCTAATGCTTTTTACACATACAAATATAGGCCACTAAATGACTTAAGTCTTTTATATTGCCTATGCCTTTTTTATATTCATGCCTTAACACAAATATGATTCATCTACACATTAACTTAACCTATACTGAGAAAAGCAGAAGATTCTTGCATAAAGTTTGCCTACTGGAAAAAGGGAAATCTAAATATTATTAAAAAAATCAGAAACATGTTCATTTGGATGCTGCAGAGACCAACATTATTAAAAAGCACCATAAAAGACTTACCGATATTGCCAACCAGTGACAAGATTGGTGTATTTCATTAAGTAGCCACAAATATTTTCCATGTGATCACTATCAAAAGAGAAAAGCAATCAGACAATACCAAACATGTTTTAGATCCTCCCAGCTTCTGACAATCTTTATTCATTTTATGTTCATTTTTAGAATGTCACTATCAATTTAGTAAAGATACATTTTAAAGCTTTTCCAGTCTTGTTCCAAAAATAGTTTCTTATGACAATTTAACCATACTTACTGAATTCCAAATAATTTTAAACCATAATTAGCTGCACCAATTCAACAGGCACTTCTAGACACATTTTTACAAGTTTCATGTAATTAACAACTTTGTATTCATGCTGCTTCTGCTTCCTGCTCTCTCTTCAAAATAAACTCTGTGCTTTTGGACTCCTGAACAAAACTTTCACTAGCTTATTAACAGACCCCTGGATCACAGCCACCAACCTAAACAGTCTGTAGCTACTCCTACATCAGTGTGGTGTTCTTAATCCCTCTTGTCCAGCATCCTTTCCCTTACACAGTCATGCTCCTGAACAGATGTTCTACCGAACACAACATGCAAGTGTAGCTCACATCAACATATTCTGAAACCTAAACCAGAAGCCAAAACATCTCCTCCTCCAGCCTGATGAGAAAATCCAGTAGTTTCTCCTTCAAAGATTCAACTTGCAACATCCACCAAAAATGAGAATCCACCAAAGACACTTGGCATGGAGACTTAATATCACTATAGGCAAAATACATTACCATTTCTGAAAATCAATTGCCCTAAATAAGGCCAACAACTACCATGGCTACAAATTACTCACTTTAAGACCACAGTTTAAAGACCCACTTTATGCTGTACATTCTCATAAACTTAGAAATTCCACCTCAGTGCCCTCACCTCACAGTAGGTCATAATCCTACACTGAAGAACATACTCTTGATAGACAATTCCAGATCCAACATGAGAAAAAAGTTCCTATTATTACAAAGAAGAATTGAAACAATGACCCAAATATGAGACAGTATTTGCTTCTTCAAAATAAATTTGTCTTTAATCTTACTTAAATTTTAAATTAAAATTTCTGTATGCTGTAGTACGTTGAAGATGAAATGAAATGAAATTATTCAGAGTCCATTGGAGCAGAAGCAACCTGTCTTGGTTGTTGAATGGACAAAGTAGCCCCAGGTCAGCAAAACGGGAAAAGTGGGGAAAATAGGACTATGAGAGACAAGGGATCATCTCCATTAGTGGGTTTTGGTTGCAAATAGAGTTGGGCTAAGTACTGGGGAAAATTCCAAATAACAGCTGAAGCTGCTGTCTGCACCTCATTTATAGACACTATCACCATATTAATTAGATATCTGACAATTTGATAAATATAACATGTTACACTGTTTCATCTCAAAGGAAGCTATTCAGGGTGACACTAATGAAAACAGCCACAGAGTAAATCACAGCCATTAAGTGATACAACACAAGCCAAGAGATACAAGAATGTACATTTTTTGAAGAAAAAAAACAAGCTGCTGATTTTTAATGTTACTTTTAAAAGCAAAAATATGTGTCCTAGCTATTACAGCAGCCATTAGTATTACAGTAATATCCTGCAATGGAGAGCAGCCAGCAGGACTATCTAGGAATTTAATTTCTAATAGCTCATTAAGTGGTACTACAGATAAAAATAAAACCAAGGAGAGCAGAGGGTGTCGTATATTTTAAATGTACAGAGAAGCTAAAGGAGACATAATCAAACTCATCCTCTGCAGACGCCTCTCATTTGTTATTATTGGCATACAAGGGAAGTACAGTTTAGACTTGCTCACTGTCTTAATTTAGCTGAAAATTATGAGATTGCATAGTCATAAAAATGCATGAGCTTGGGTTTTAATCATCTGAAAATTGTCCCTAGTCACAGCTAATTGTTTTTCAGCTCTAGTAAATGCAAGCTACGCCCTTGCTTTTCAGTGAGACACTGTACATAGCCCTGCACATTCAGGCTACAGCCACTGCACACCCATTAAGTAATATGCCTAAACCACAGGTACCTTTAACAGAACACAAGAAAATCATGAAGGTAAGTTCAGACTGCACTGAATGCAGCAGGACTATGTGGATGAAGGACTATGTATATGGAAGTGCATTCATATGACAAGGGTAAATTAAATAGCCTTTGATTAAAATAATTTGACCTCTGGGGTTTTTTCTGGGTGTGACAAATAAAATAGATGATTTTGTCATGCAAAAAAAAAGGCACTGTAGAAGGGAGTGCAGCTCTTCTGGTGATGTAGCTCCACATCCAATGACCATCACATTTGCCATCATCTGCATGGTCTTTTCCACTTGGATTTTCACCTTGTCTAGACCCAAACATCTCCAAATGCCTCCTCTTCAATAATTTCTATCTCTAAGCTCATCAGTCCTGGAGGGTTCAGCTGAAAGACTTTGAGAACAGTGCTCCATGGAAGTCTGAGGAAGTGACTAAGAACTAGTATTTCAACATTTGAACTAAGGCTTATTTTTAAATAAGTGAAAATTATATACACTAAAGAAATCTAAACCCACTCTGCAAATTGCAGCTCACAAAAAAGTAAATTCTCTAACTGTACATAAACCCATGACAGAACTACAGTTAACCTCCTAATCTTCTTCTGCATGTATGAATACAGAAGAATGTTCTCAGTATTATTTATGAGCAAGGCCAGGGATTGTAACTAAAGCATTTCTTCAAGAATTTTAAGATTAGTGCCTCCACAGCATGAGTTAAACCAAGATATTTGCTGTTGCTAAAGCAGTGATATAAGGCAGGGCAGTTAACAAAAAAAATGCAAAAACACACCCAGCCCAAAGAAAACCCAGTAACATTTCACTAGTATGGAGCTGACAGCCAAATGACAGCCATCTACAGAGCACTACAGAAAGCTTATAAAATGGTAGACTTTGAGAACAAGAGGTTGAGGTTCAAGCACTGGCTCTGCTCACAGATAACCACAGCTCATAAAATATGAGTAAGCCCCTAATGTTGTTTCATTGGAAACACTGCTGGCAAAACCTGTCTCAAAGTCACCAGCGTACTTCAAAAGCCTGCAAATTTTCTGACATAGGGGTTTTTGACTTCTAGAAAACAGATTTCAGAAGTGAACTTGACACAAAACACTGAACAACTTAACACTGACAGTGAGGGCTGGCTCCCTTGGGATCCTTCAAGATTTTCAGAATCCCTTTGCATTCACACTGCTGCCTACATGCACGTACATGTACCTATGGGTACGTGTGTCTTTCCATAGCCAAGATGCTGTTGGTGCTATTTAAAATGCTCACCACAGTCTCAGATTGTCAGAGGAATAGCAACAGCTCAGCAACAGTGAGTCAACAATCCCTAAAGGCCCTATTTCTGTCGAAATTCACATGTCCTGTCAAAGAAAGGAAATGTTGCAACAGACAGATCACAGTCTTAAGGACATGAAAAAAAAAATTTGATTTTAACTTTTGCTAGACTACTTTAAGTGAGGATATTGTACAAATCACAATCTAGAAAAAAATTATGCAGAACACAATACAACATCTAAACTCTAGCCCAGCAACATCTACCACCTCCCAAAACCTGTGGTTTTCTCTCAAAGGCTGAACACCTTTGAACTTGCCTGTCCACTTATCACAATGTTTTAGTTTATAAATACTGTGAGAAGAACTGAAACTGTCCTTAGAAGCAAATGACAGACATCTGAGAACAATTACACATTGGTTCATATCCTTCCCACAAAATTATCCCTCCCTTACATCAAAGATGTTTGCCATAAGCCAGATTTCTACATATTTATGTGCTATAAAAAAAAATATAATAGGAATAAAAGATTCACAAAGTCTCACTGTTAGCTTATTTATCCTTCTCTAGTTTTACTTGTCCTTTCCTAAACTGCAACTGCTGCTTGGGCCTTGCAGGGTGGTCTCCTGTCCTAGGGAAGAAAGAAGACAGTGACAATCAGGCTAAATTCCCCTGTATCCTGTTTACATGCAGCACCCGAGCTTTGGACGCAGATACTGAGGAACTGTAGTCCCATAATGACGTCTTTCAGGAGCTTCTGCCAAGACACCCAGGCTCACACCTGACAAGTGCTGGGCCAACATTTTCTCTGAGAAGCAGTAGCAAAGCAAATGGCTTCACCAACCTTTTTTCATACCCCCTCCTGTGTAGGTTTCTATGAAAGCCCCACAGGAAAAAAACCTAGCAGCAGCACAAAACCTACACCCGTCGGGAAAGCAGTTACAGAACAGTTCCAAGACTGCCCTTCAGATGATTTTAATTTTGCTGGGACCCAGCACCACGTGGGATGCTTTGAGCAGCCAAGTCTCTGAAGACCCAACAGCTGTCTGAAGAGCAAACGAAGTGGCCAAAGGCTTCCCCACTGACTTGTGTAAGGCCTGACTTCAAGTGGAGGCTGACTATGTGCGGATTTGCTGCCAGCAGGAAGGATGACCAGGAGTCTGGAGCCCACAAAGATGTCAGGGAGGGCTCCTGAAGGGGGATCCAGCCTCCAGAGCTGCCACAAGCACTGTTATGACAGTGCCTTCAGTCTCTGGCCAAGGGAAGATGCTCCTTTCTACTGAGCTCACAGCAAGATATAAAACCCCGGTGAAAGAGACTCTTCATATTAAAAGCTAGCAGAGTATAAAAGAAAATGAAATAAAGAAATGAGGATTGTAACAGAGCAAAACAATGAGAGATTTTAACTATACAGTTTGGAAAAAGCACTGACCCTTTTCACTGAACTTGTTCATTTCTATTTGCCCACAGGTTCACTCTTGGCAATGGCTTGCTTTTTCCTCACTGGGCTCTGCAAAGTGCTTATGTACAGTGCAGATTCCCCTTTCCTTACATGGAGGGCAGGCAGTGGAGAAGAGAAAGGGGAAAAAAAATTCCAAATAGCTATGTCAGCATAGAACACTTTGGGCATACCTTCTGCAACTGCAAGAAACCAGCACCAAGTTAAGCACACTCCAACTCCACAGCTCTGTGGTGCAGGAGCAGGTTCCCCAGTAAACCCAACCAGGTAAGGCAGTAGCA